GGGGTGGGCGGAGGGAGAAGGTGCCACCAGAAGGCCTTGCCTTTGGAAGTGCCTCAGCCCCGGCAGCGTCTTTCTGGGCGTGAGAAGGATGCGCAGAAGGGGGAAGAGAATCGGAACGCGCATCTGTGGTGGCAAACTGGGGGCCGCGGGGTTTCAGCATGCCAGAAAACAAGGTGCTGGTGGTGGGTCCAGGGCTTAGCTGCTCCTCGGCAGGAGAACTCCTCTTGCCTGGCAGCAAGGGCACGCCGCTCGCCCTAAGGTCCTCCAGGAAGGCCTGCGAACCAGTTTGATACTCACTGTCTGTGTGGCTGGGTGCAGGAGGTGCATGAACCTGCGTGAAAGCGGCGTGGCCGCGGGAGTTTGCAGACCCTGGAAAGCCTGGCAGATTCCTGTGGCTTTGTGTGCCTTCCTCCTTGTGACTGCACGGCTGGTAGAACCCCGATTCCTGGGTTTGGCTTTGGGGCAGTGGCAGTGGAGTTTCCTGGAGCTGTTACCTCCCTTCCCTCCTTCCCTCCTTCCCTCCTTCCCTCCTTCCCTCCTTCCCTCCTTCCCTCCTTCCCTCCTTCCCTCCTTCCCTCCTTCCCTCCTTCCCTCCTTCCCTCCTTCCCTCTGCTGTGCTTTGGAGATGCACAGTTGGGCCATTTCCACCGCTGTGCTTTGGAGATGCACGGTTTGGACATTTCCACCCCTGGCTAGCTGGGCATCCAAGCGTCAGAAACGACGGGTTTTTGAGTGCTGCCTAAGCAGCTGCAGCATGACAGCGAAGTGAGGCTTGGCAGGATTGAAGGGTTGAGAACTGGCAGGTTTGAAAAAGCGAAATAATGCATGCTCTGAGTGATCACACCCTGCCGTGCTCTGCAGGGAGCGAAGGAGAGAGCCTTTCGACAGCTAGCAGGCAAGGGAGGGGACGCGGGGTGGCATTCAGCCTGCAGCTACGGGGAAGAGGGGATCTGAAGGGGATGGAGTCCTGCAGAAGATAAACGGCTGGAGCTTGTGGTGTTTGAACCCAGAAGCTCCTCCAGGCTGAGCAGTGGAGGAAATATCTGGGCGAGACGCTTGCTGGCGTGGTGCCTCCCGTTCCTGTAACGGCCACAGAGACATAGCCCCTTTCTCTGGGTGGGAAAGAGCTCTCTCTGGCTGAGAGCAGCACTTCTCTACCCCGGCTTCTGCTTTACATTCCCTGCAGACGTGGTTAATATTTGCCATTCCGTTAGCACCACTTTATAACTCGTTTTAGGCCCTGGGGAGTTAGCTCTGATAGATGGCTTGTGAATTGCCTGTGGGTAGATTGCTTATTGCTGCAAAAGGCTTTTGCTTTTCTTCAAACAGGTGGGGGGAAAAAAAAAGCAGCTCACTGATAAGTTCTTTGTGATTAAAAGCAGCCCTTCTAAGATTTGTATTGATTAATGAAGGTTTTAATGGAAACAAATGCCTTGATGAGCCTGCTACTGATAGCAAACATGCACTGATGAACGGAATTAATTTCCTGCGTGATCAAAACCAGGTATTTACTTTGTGCAGAGAGCTCTGCTCTGGTGCCCTTGGTTTTGGTGATAGGGTTTTCTGCTCAGGATGTGGCGTGGTTGAGGTAATGTGTGGAACAGGGGCTGGGGAGGGCTGTTTGGGGACCAGAGAAGCAGCAGCTGTAGCAAGGCTGCCATTATAACCACGCAGGCAATGCTGGCTGTGGTGGGGGGAGAATGGACTGGGAGCAGAGTGGGTGGCTGTTGTCCCCCTGCTGTCTGTGCCACTTGGAGTAGGAGGAAGATGACTGCAACCTGGAGGAGAAGGGAAAAAAGTTGGCAGGTGGAAATTGCTCACAGCCACCCACAGAATCACAGAATGTTGGGGGCTGGAAGGGACCTCTGTGGGTCACCCAGCCCAACCCCCTGCCGAATCAGGGTCACCTACAGCAGGCTGCACAGGACCTTGTCCAGGTGGGTTTCGAATATCTCCAGAGAAGGAGACTCCACAGCCCCTCTGGCAACAACAGCAGAGTTGCAAGGCAGTCGTGGGTGCTGTGCTAACTTCTCATAAAGCTCTACCCACAGCAAAAAGCAAGTCCTGGCGATCTCTAATTAAGCACCCACAGCAGGAGATAGGTTTTTCCCTGCTTTCTCTGCACCTCATCCACCAGTGGACTAGAATGGCAGCGCATCTGCAGCATTGCTATTTTTTCATGTTTCAGCAGTGCTTTCGATAATATGTTTAAGGAAAAATGCATGGAAACTTCAATATTTGCTCAATATTTTCTAGCTCTTCACTAAAACACTGTCCCATACCTTGAGCTGGCAAAGAGAATAAAGGGTCGTACCCCAGCACTCCCAGTCCCTCTCCGCAGAGCTGCTCCCCAGCAGCTCAGCCCCAGCCTGGACTGGTGCCTGGGGTTGTTCCTCCTCAGGTGCAGGACCCTGCCCTTGGGGAGGAACATCCCCATGCACCCATGACAACGGTGTCTGGCACCAGGGGCACGAATACGAGTGTGCTCTGGATGTGCCAGCACTGGAAAGCGCAGCGCTGCTCGTCGGTGGCCTCTGCAGCAGCCGGGTGTTTCCAGGCGAGGAGGTGGCTCTCAGCGGGCACGGAGCGTGGGGGTCCAGCTGGGGTCTCCGTCTGGCGCAGGAGGTTCTAGCTGGTGGCACGTCTTTCAGAAAGGAATGAACTCAACGTTTTCTGATGCCTTCCCCGTGAGCTGTGTCTGGAGGAGGCGGTGGTGTCCCTTTGTAAACAGATGGGTGGCTGAAACGCTGCTTGTCCGCTTCTTTCTCCGACCGATACCTGCAGAGTTTCCCCCAGCCTGAATCACAGAATCACAGAATGTTCGGGGTTGGCAGGGACCTCTGTGGGTCACCCAACCCCCTGCCGAAGCAGGGTCACCCAGAGCAGGCTGCACAGGACCTTGTCCAGGCGGGTCTGGGATATCTCCACAGAAGGAGACCCCCCAACCTGAGCAGGCATCTTGTCTACCCAGACGGAACCCTGAGCAGTTTGTGCTCCCATCTTCCTCTGTTAAGTGATTTTGCTTCTTCTTTTTCAGGATAAGTTCACGCTACTGCGAGACACCAGAACAGACGGCAGCTTCCTGGTGCACCACTTCCTCTCCTTCTACCTCAGAGGTAGGTCAGCAGCAGGACTCTCCCAGGCCAGGGTTTCCCTGTCTCTTGGAGGTTCCTCCAGCGTAAGGTGTTTCTGTGTGAGCAGAGGCGGGTTTCGCAGAACGGGAGGCATCCTCGGATTAGCGCGAGGCTTTGGTGTCAGGATTTAGGGATCCCAGTCCTGACTTGTTCTTGGGACTTGCCCTGGATCCGTGGGCACATCCTGTAATGGCTGCGCACCTTGTTTCATCATGAGTGTGGTGAACGTTGTAAATCACCTGACAGTGAGGTGTTGACCCTAATTCCTTCACTAGCTAGGTGTTTTATTGTGTAATTAAAAATATCAGGACCAACTAACACATAGATAAGCTGGTGGTGAGTAAAGAAACAAACAAAGAACCTGGCAAGTTGCCTAATTGCTTCTCCGCCAACAATTTCACCTGTGAGGAACCCACCAGCCCCTGCAGAGCGGGCGATGGACTCACGGACTCCTCCAGCTTTCCGCTGGCAAAGCGGCCAGCCCAGCAAACCTGGGACCTATCAGACTTGAAACTTAGCTCACAGTGCTGCGCAGGTGGTGGGGCTGAGCGTGTCCTGCCCCCTATAACTCCCTCTTCCTCGGCTATGCCTTCACTTCATTTTTAAAAATTAATTTCACTTGCGCTGCCTCGGGGTCTGCGCGCGTCCCCGCACGGCTCTGCCAACCTGACTGGCCTGGAGTCGCTGCACGGGGCTGCCCCTCTGCTGGGAAAAGCCTCACTGTCCCCTGTGGTCAGGCAGCGCTTTGGGATCGTGGTTGCTGCTCAAGGCAGGGTGTCCTTGCTGCCGCCCTCTCATTTCCACCCCGGGACCTGGGTGCCAGCGTACTCCGTGTCCGTCGCACCCCGATGTTTTCCAAGTACCCGTTTGGTGCTCAGAACCTTTGGGAGCTCCCGAGGGGTCAGTGAAGGCTCGGCTGGGGGGGCTGACTTCACTTCTTGCCGCTTGCAATCCGCGTCCTGCTCGCTGGCGGGGAGAAACGAACGCACTGGTTCTCTTCATACCCAAACCATGAGGCCGGGTGGTCACGTGCTGGGTTTTCCAAAATCACGTTTTAGTGAGGTGTCTTTGTCAACAACGCGTGTTCTGTGTGGTTTTTCCAGCCAAGGTCACTTGCCGTATGAGAGGTGAAACGGGGATTTTTGGCACGCCGGTGGTTTCGGTAGTTCGTGTCACGGTCGGCCGTTGGCCTCCTTGCAGTAACCCCAGCAAACAGTGCCAGGAGATCCCAGGGCAGGGCGGCACAAGACAGAAAAGGGGGCTCCTATTTTTTTTTATGTCGTCTTTTTCTTGTTCTTTCCCTTTCTTTTTAAACTAACATTCTTCCTGATGTGGAAATCCTATGGCAAGGTGGAAATTGAAAGCCCAGCCAAGAGCAAATGAAGGGGGTGCTTAGAGCTGGCTCACTTCAAGGCCTTTCCAGGCGGGTTTGTAGCCTGGCTGCTGTGATTTACGTGCTTTGATAATGGCAGCTTCCAAAATGGAAACGGTAACGGGCCTTTTTGTTTTCTCACCCAGCTGGCTGTAAGGTTTGCTTCGTGGCCCTGCTCCAGTCCTTCAGTCACTACAGCATCGTAGCACAGAAGCTGGTAAGTCTCTTGGCGTAGGTTAATAATTACAGGTCCGGGTAGTTTCTGTTGGGTGGAAAGGAATGAGAACGGGGAATGGGAATTGCACGTGAGCAAATGTTTCCAGGTCTTGACAGGGACAGTCAGGACTGGTGCTCCTGCGGCAGGGGATGGAGAGCACTTCTTGTTGGAGAAGGGGTGTGACAGAGGGCAGAGTAACAACCCCACGCAGCACTGCAGGCTTGGGGAGGAGCGGCTGGAGAGCTGCCCGGTGGAAAAGGACCTTGGGGTGTTGTTTCTGGTTGAACATGAGCCAGCAGTGTGCCCAGGTGGCCAAGAAGGCCAACGGCATCCCAGCTTGGATCAGGAATAGTGTGGCCAGCAGGAGTAGGGAGGTGATCGTGCCCCTGTACTCAGCCCTGGTGAGACCACACCTCAAGTACTGTGTTCAGTTTTGGGCCCCTCACTACAAGAAAGACATTGAGGGGCTGGAGCGTGTCCAGAGAAGGGTAATGAGGCTGA